GAATCTTTTAAATATTACCGTGAAAAGAAGTCTGAATAAGAAAAAAATACTAAGAAATAATATTTAATAAAATAATAAAAATTTGATTAAGAATATTAAATTATTCTTATTTGATTCGTCCTGGACCTCTATATAAACATACCTACATGAAACTCTTCCAAAGTATCTAACCACCAAACTTAAAAGGAAACCATCGACTCAGCTCAGTACTCTCTCTTTCGCTCTCTGATCTCCTCTCTATCTCATATTATGTATATAAATTAAAATCGTAAAGACATAATGTTATAATGTATTATGTATAGATATCATACAATTTTTTCTAGTTATATATATATTTATAAATTATAATATAGCGGTGCAGAACGGATATCCATTTTTAAGATTTCAGTATTTGTGATATGCTCATGTTTTTTTCTAAATGTTTTTCTAATTTTATTTTGCTTCATAAAGTTATTGTTATCCATATTTTTCGGATTGAAACACAATTAAGAGATAACGGATCGAAATGAATATCACACATATATACATATTGTCCAACTTTAGATAGGCTCATGTGGAGGTTAAAGATAGGAGAAGGAAATGGGGAAGACCCTTACTTGTTCAGCAGCAACAACTTTGTCGGACGTCAAACATGGGAGTTTGATCCCAAAGCTGGCACAATCGAGGAACGAGCCACTGTAGAAGTAGCTCGCCGGAGTTTCTTGGTCAACCATTCTCGTGTTAAAGGTTGCAGTGATCTCTTGTGGAGAATGCAAGTAAGTTTTTTTTTACTCCGAGTTTGTATTTTTTTGTGCTTACAATCACGTATTCACCTTGTTCAATTTAAACGGTAAATTGATTGATTTTCACTCATAAAAGCTATATACAGTAATACGTGGATACGTGATAAAATAATGTGGATTTTGGCTCAGGTAAAGTGGTCATCAAAGTCAACAGATTTATCATAATAGAAAACTGAATGTTTTTTTAACAGTATACTAGAGCAAAAACGAAATCTTAAATTTTCTTATTATGAATATATAAAAAGCTACGAATATCATGTATTATATTCAACCAAATTAAGTGTTTTTTTTTTTTTGTTTTACCACAAAAATATTGTGGCTTTGGGGAACCAATTATAGAACAAATTAGATCCAACCGATAGAATCATAGAAACATTTCACTTAGGAACACTCGACGTGTTATTAATTTTTTTTTTGTCTCAACAACGTGTTATTATACTTGATGAGATTAAAAAAAATGAAAACGTGGGAAGAAGATGCTTTTATTCATTTTTAAGTTGATTTTTGAAATAAATTAATTTGTCTGAGTTGATTGGATTGCACGCAACAGTTTTTGAAAGAGGCTAAATTCGAGCAAGTGATCCCGCCGGTGAAGATTGATGACGCTGAAGGCATAACGCATGAAAATGCAACGGATGCATTACGGAGAGGAGTTTCTTTCTTCTCGGCTTTGCAGGCCTCCGATGGCCACTGGCCGGGAGAAATCACAGGACCTCTCTTCTTCCTTCCTCCATTGGTATGTCTCTTCTTTGTGTTTCCCTCAATACTTGTCAATTTCTTAATTTATTGTCTATTTGCGAATACCCTTTGAGTTTAGGGTTTAGGGTTTAGGGTTTTGCGGGAAGTTAAAGAAAATGTCTCCATTAAATGGGAAAAATCTTCCTGCAGGTATTTTGTTTGTATATCACAGGACACCTTGAGAAGATATTCGATGAAGAACATCGCAAAGAGATGCTTCGACATGTCTATTGTCATCAGGTACTTTGAATGATGATTTTTTTGGCTCAGATTTTTCAAAAACAGAGCCTATACTAGAGATCATTATAGGAATTTTCTGCTTTAATTTGTCCCTTAATTTGTAGAACGAAGATGGTGGATGGGGATTACACATTGAGAGCAAGAGCATTATGTTCTGCACCGTGTTGAATTACATTTGCTTGCGTATGCTCGGAGAAGGTCCTAATGGAGGACGAGAAAACGCGTGTAAACGGGCTAGACAATGGATTCTTGATCGTGGTGGTGTGACCTATATTCCGTCCTGGGGGAAAATTTGGCTATCGGTAAATCTTTCCGACCTAATGCTAATCTCACTGAAAGATGTTGAAAAGTTACGTGTGCGACAATCAAATTTTGATTTTATTTTGTATGTAGATACTAGGAATCTATGATTGGTCCGGAACCAATCCAATGCCTCCTGAGATCTGGTTGCTTCCTTCTTTCCTTCCAATACACTTAGGTTTGTTTTCTGTTTCACTTGGAATTGTTATTTCTGTTTGTAGTTTTGTTTTGTTTTTGATATTTGTCTTGATCACTTTAAACAAAATGCAGCGAAAACTTTGTGTTATTGCCGGATGGTTTACATGCCCATGTCGTATCTATATGGTAAGAGGTTTGTTGGTCCAATAACACCTCTTATTCTGCAACTGCGTGAAGAACTCCATTTAGAACCTTACGAAGCAATCAACTGGAATAAAACACGGCGTCTTTACGCAAAGGTATGAAGATGATTGACCAATTTTAATTTTTAAATTTGTGTGTCATTTATGATAGCATAAACATTTCATCCTTCTTATCTTGCAGGAAGACATGTATTTTCCCCATCCTTTGGTTCAAGATTTGATATGGGACGCTCTTTACCTCTTTGTGGAGCCGTTCCTTACCCGTTGGCCGTTAAACAAGCTTGTAAGGGAAAAGGCTCTTCGGCTGGCAATGAAACACATACATTACGAAGACGAGAATAGCCATTACATCACTATCGGATGTGTTGAGAAGGTAAAAGATTGAACGATCCTTTATAAAATTATGCATATACTCTCTTATGAACGTATGTTTGAATTCCAAGTTGAATATTTTTGTGTAGGTGTTGTGCATGCTTGCTTGTTGGATTGAAAACCCGAATGGGGACTACTTCAAAAAGCATCTTGCTAGAATACCGGATTACATGTGGGTCGCGGAAGACGGAATGAAAATGCAGAGCTTTGGAAGTCAACTATGGGATACAGGGTTTGCGGTTCAAGCTATACTTGCTTGTGATCTCTCTGGTGAAACTGGTGACGTACTTAAGAGAGGACATGATTACATTAAGAAATCTCAGGTTTGATTACCTTAGATTGAATTGCTTCAAGAACAGGTGGATGTGTTTTCCTAAATCAAAGAACATTTCAGGTTAGAGAGAATCCTTCTGGTGACTTTAAGAGCATGTACCGCCACATATCGAAAGGAGCATGGACTTTATCTGATCGAGATCATGGATGGCAAGTTTCAGACTGTACAGCAGAAGCTTTGAAGGTATATCCAACCAGCCACTGACGCATGAACAAGTTAGTTAGGAGTTTCCACAAGACTTATGCCTCAAAGTACTTATTCTGTTTTGTAGTGTTGCCTGCTGCTTTCTATGATGCCAGCTGAGGTGGTTGGCCACAAAATAGATCCCGAACAAATATACGATTCGGTTAATCTCTTGCTATCTTTTCAGGTAAGGTTGAATCTATAAGACTAATGTTCCAAAAAATCCAATTGGCTTTTAATAACATTGGGAACATATGGATTTTGTTTAATGTAGAGTGATAATGGAGGTGTGACTGCATGGGAGCCTGTCCGTGCATATAAATGGATTGAAGTAAGTGCTGAAACAGTAACACATAACAATGTTTACATTTTAACGCGACTTTGGAAGTTCTTAGGAAGAGAATCTCTGATGTTTAATCTTTGTAAATGGTTTTTTTCAGTTACTCAATCCCACAGAATTTCTGGCTAATCTTGTGGTTGAGCGTGAATATGTGGAATGTACATCAGCTGTTATACAAGCTTTGGTTCTGTTCAAGAAACTCTATCCGGATCACAAGACAAAAGAGATCACCAGGTCCATCGAGAAAGCGGTGCATTTCTTGGAAAACGAACAAAGGTCGGATGGTTCATGGTATGTTTTACTCTTAACACAATTCATGCATGGTAAAAAGATATATATGGTTCAGAAGAAGTTTAACAAAATAATGTTTTTCTGGTATCATGATCATAGGTATGGAAATTGGGGTGTTTGTTTCATTTATGGCACATGGTTTGCTCTTGGCGGCCTGGCAGCCGCGGGTGAAACATATAAAACTAGCCAAGCAATGCGTAAAGGTGTTGAATTCTTACTCAGGACACAGAAAGATGATGGAGGTTGGGGTGAAAGCTATCTGTCATGCCCTGAACAGGTATATGCGGGGATCAACGTGATCACCTTACTAGATGATATTCACTAAAATTATCGAACAACTCTTGTTGATCTTTTTAACATGGTGTGTGTGTAGAGATATATACCATTAGAAGGGAAAAGATCCAACCTGGTGCAAACAGCTTGGGCACTAATGGGGTTGATTCATGCTGGACAGGTGCAACTCTTTCGTTATGCATTTACATTTTTTAGTACTTGTATAAACACAACGAAATTTCTTCGATTAATAGTATATAACAAAACAGGCCGAGAGAGATCCAATAACTCTACACCGTGCTGCGAAACTTATCATCAATTCGCAAATGGAAAATGGAGATTTCCCTCAGCAGGTTAGATGAGTCAATTGGGATTCAAATAATCAATCAATGTTTCCTTTCTTGCATTTTCTTGGTACATATTGATTTCGAACAATGTTATTTTAATTGCATTTTCAGGAAATAGTAGGAGTGTTCATGAGGAATTGCTTGATACACTATGCTACCTATAGAAACACTTTCCCATTATGGGCACTTGCTGAATACCGAAAAGCTGCGTTCTTAAGATGATTAAACACACAAGTCGCTTCTAATAAGGCTTGCCAACGGTCAAATATATATATAGTAAATGTGATTTAAGTTTTCTAAAAATTGTTACCATCACGTCTTGTAATAGTGTAATTGTTTCTTCTTTTGTGGCTGAGTAATTATTATTATTGTTTCTTCTTTTGTGAAAAATCCACCAATGTGAAAGAATAGATTTAGCATAAGATTCTAGTCTCTAGAGAACATTTTTCGAACACATGGTTATAAACAAAACTATAATTGTTTTTTTTTCCAAGATTGCTAATACACAACACAGAGATATGTACACGCTCATTGAAAAAAATGGTGAGTGACTGTACTATACTATACTACTACTATCTATACACACATTCACACGTCCTTGGCAAAATGCTCTTTGATCACAACCATATAAAACATAAGCAATCGAAGTTCGACGTGATGATAGACCGTAATACCTGAACTCATAACTTACGACCACATAATTTGCACAAAATCCTGCAAATACAAAATTCACATTGTTACTAAGCAGGGTGGGATGGTTTAGATCAGTTTGAGTGGAAAAACGTGTGGGATAGAGTTTGATTACTGGTTTTTGAATTGATTTTCCGAATATGTTAGAACCACTCAGCCATGCATTTAGGGTAAAGCTCACTCTCAGTAGCAATGGAGGAGAGGCCACGAAGCTCTTTCTGAACTTTCCGTCTCTCGTAAAAGACTGAGCAAGCAAGGGAATTGCATTTCACTCCGCATTGCACCACCCAGTCTCCCCCACCACAGTGTCTGCATATCTGCAAATAAGATAATAGAATGAAAAATCAAGTAATGGACCAAGAAAGTTGGAACAGAATGCATCTACGGAGATTCATTAAGGTCTCAACTTTAAGCACACATGGAAAGAGGTCTACAGTCGTTCTTATTTATAAAATAGCCAACATTTCTGAAAGATAATCTGAAATTAAGTCTCCACTCTTCAGCATAAATTATTCTGCAGACTACCATGAGATGAAACTGTCTGTTTGAACTCAAAATGTGTGCAAGACTAAATGCAAATGCTCACATCAGAAAGTGTACAAGTTTTTATGCAACATGAGTCTACCCGTACTCTTAGAAAGTAAAGACAGTAATATCATGGTTGTAAACGATACCACGTTCCGTAAACAGTTCATATAAATGATAGATTTTGGAGTACTTACCGTGGCTAGGTGTTGCATCTCTCTCTCCAATTTTGAAGTCTTCCAAACAATGGTTGCATCAGCAGCACTTTTATTTTTGAGGCACCGGTTGCATAGCTGAGCAGATTCTTGAACAACTTCCCCACACAAGATGCAATGTTTCGAGAGATAAAAATAATCAATTCTCGTTTTGTGTGAGTTTTTAGAGCTTAAGGGACGTTGACCAAGGGAGCTTCTGGTGAGACGGGGCATCTCCAAAAACCACTGGTTTAAGTCTGCACCCAGGAGTCCAAATACCCTTTGCAAAGCCGGTATAATTTGTTTGTTGATGTAGTATAAGTCATTCAATCGGTAGGGTGTATCAATGTCCAAAAGAACCAGTGGGTCCACCACCATATCAACAAGTCGAGCTCCTGGCTCCCCATGGATCACAACATAAGGCACTCGTTCCGCATAGCGTGGCTCTGTCCGAGGGTCTGTTCTCATTGATTTGGTTGCCACAATAGCAGCTGGAGGAAGGAGTGAAGAGTCTCTTGTGCTATAAGTCCCCAACCGAACTTCTTTTGCAAAGACAAAATCTTGTAGAGACACTCTCCCTGATAGTATCCGCTTCCACTGTCTATACAAGTACGACTTAACCTGCACAATGAATAGAGAAAAGCAGATGTAAGCCACTGCAGTTTCAGCTGATAATTTGAAAGAGCACAAGAAATCAAATTTGTACCTTAGAGATGCTCTTCTTCTCAAAAAAGAGTCTCAACGATTGCTCCATAGTTTTTGAAACAGCTTCACAAGTGTCTCTTCGAACAGTTTCAATACCTTTTGCATCAAATATAGGCTCGTTCTGATCGGGACTTTCATAACTGTACCCAACATAGCGCTTCTTCGTAAGAAGGAAACAAGGGTGATAGACTTTCTCCATCTTTAAAGTGACTGGGTGTGGATTCATTTCAGTTATTGCAGATGCAATCTCTTGTCCGACTACAAAAGCTTCTTTTACAGTTCGTCCTTTGAGGAGGACAAACATACTGCACAAGTAATTAAAATGCATGAGGCCACATGGAAGAAGCAAATAAAGAAACTGCGATACATACATACTTGCCCAGGTTGCTGAAATGACCAAAATATACACTGAAGTAAGTACGAGTATATGTTAACTTATGCAAGCATACATGAAACCCTGGTGATCCTTAATTTTATAGGAAGTTGCCATGAAAGATGGTGGTAAACTTTAACCGGGTTTTAAATCTTAAATTGACTTCAACCAGATGAGTAGATATGGAAATTACCTATCAGTGTCACCATATACAACTCTAGCGTTCCAACTATCATTGGCATTGACAAACGAAATAGCCTTCTCAAGTGTGCTACGACCACACTGGACAATACTATCTGCCAGCTCTGCACAAGGCATTCGACCACTGAAGCCAGCAGCAGTATAGCCATAAGTAACATTTGCTATCAGCTTTAAAGCAAGCTGCCTTGCATTAAATATCTGAAAGAAAACACCGAATACCATCAAAATTGCAAATTTTACGTTGGAACCAAAAAAAACTTGGGCCACTCTCTCATCAGCCAATCTTCCCTAGTCAAAAAAATTAGGAATGGACTCTGATCAAGATAACCATACCCGGTGAAGAACTGCTTCTGAAGGAGTCAACTTTTTCATTGCTTTTTTCACCATTATTCTTGTAGATAGAATTTCCTCTAGCAGCCTAGGTAAAATTCCTCTGCGCACCTATATGTAAGAAGAGAAGGTGACTACTATGCTTAGGCTAAATCAAGAAAAATATCCATCTACGCAGAAAACAGTGATGCTTTTAGGAACCAATGATGCACATTACCTCTGGTGGCACATACATCACACTGTTTGGGGTCTGCAGGATTTGATTTAAATCCTGAAGAACACCAAGGTCTAGAGAGTATGAGCTGACCCCAAGGGTGTTCATCTTCAAATGTGCAAGTTTTCCAAGACACGTAGAAAAACACAGATTATATGCTATAATCATTGAAGGGTAAAGAGATTGAAAATCCAACACAATAACAGGATCATCGTAGAAGGCAGATTCTGGTTCCATCACAAGAGGTACACATTCCATAGCTGGCTGAGAAGCAACCTACATGATCACATGATTTAGTTAGGAGAACGCTAGTGAGTAAAAAAGGCGTGAAAAGATTATGAAAGCTGTATGAGGACAAAACAATTTATGCCGGTAAACAAAATGAGGCTTGACCAACCCATCATTCGAGGCCAGACGACTGGTTGATAAAACAAGAAACGTTAAAAGTAAATCACTTGGAAGTAGCAGATAAAACGAACCTGTTGGTTTCCTGGAGATATAGCAAGATAATTTTGTGTGTGCGCTAATCTCAAAAGCATAGATTCCACTCTGTATTGGGAACCTCGGGAGAGAACTGAGAAAAAGTCTATGCCAAAAACACGAGCAAGTTCTGATGTACGATTTATCTGCAAACAATGATTTAGTAGGATAAACAACATGCACATAATTCACTATATAAATCAAGTTGAAAATGTTACATACCATGTCAAGTTGACTCATTATCTCAAGGTTCAAATTTGTTCGGCGAACCACATATTCTATGCATCGATATCTTGCCCCCGCAGGACCACTTGAAAACCATTCTGTCAATACTTTATAGGGGATGGATGGAATCTTCTGCCTCAAAACAGCCTCCGACACAGCTTCAATTGTGTACATGTTGAGTTTAACTTCCCCGCGAATCAAACGCCATGCATTGAGAACAATTCTACCTCCAACATGAACACCACTAGCATGTGTGCGGCCCCACTCATCCTCAATTACCACTTCTTCTACTTGAGCAGGATCAGCTACCAAAGGATCTGGCAGCAGATTTTTACCAAGCTTTCTCTTATTATCTGAATCGTTTCTCGTGGTCGGAGATGGCGTCCTAGATATATTATTGAGAAATCTTATGCCAAGCTGGGCAGCCCTTTCAGCTAGAAAACCAATGGATCCACCCTGTATATCCCATCCCAGAAGAATATCTGGATCCCATTTACACAAAGTCTCAATAAAATAACTGAATAGTTGCCTCTCTTCAAGGAATACAGAAAACTTGCATCCAGATAGGCCATCAACATTTCTGTAGTGAATAACAATCGAAAAAGCATATTAGAGAAAAAATGTGATTGAAGTTCTCGGTGGCATTAAAGAAAAAATAAAAGCATGAATACGTCAGGTACAAAATTTCTAAGAAACCAAACTAAGTGAATCAGGTATATTACCTCTGATCAATGCTATCTGGACTAACTAAAAGCACAAATACTTCAGCTACAAAACTATCGTCATTCTGCACGACGAGAGCTATGACATTGACAGAATCAAATCGTGGATCAGGTCGCAGGTCCCCTCTAGACTCTGCATGAACCTGTAAGTTTATAGATATTAACATGTATCAACGAACCTTTTCCCAGAACACATCATCTTAAATGAAAAGAGTTCATTTTTACTACAGAGGGCCGTTTGGTATCAGCATTAACAAAATATAATGGGCAATTTCACTCAATTCTAAGGAAAAAGATAAGCATACTAAATACTAAGACAAACTTTTAAAGGTCAAAACTCCTTAACGAGCTGCATATTTTGACTTTCTAAGTCCAAGTATCCTCAAGCATTGAACAAATGATTACTCAAGTAATTGCAAGATCATCCCAATGAAGACAAAACATTGGGTTGCTCACTGTGAGGCTCGAGGAATGAAAACTGTAGCATGGACTTTTAGTTTTTAATCCTCACAATGAGCGGTTTTACATGAAATGAGGGTTCCACAGTATATAAACCATTCAAAGTGTCCATGCCTAATCTATGTGTGCAAAGGCCATTTGAGGATTTTTACTAATTAAATGTGTAGCTTCTCAAAGAAGAGGGTTAAGTTAAAGCACCTCTATACTCAGCACTGTAAGTTGTTGCCCAGCCCCCATGCTCGCAGGATCTCGGAATCCCATTTGACTTAAGGGAGTGGGCCCTGATTTCCCATCAGGACCTGAAATCTGAGACATCTCTTGGGAAATCTGAGAGTTAAGATTAAGAAACGTTCCTCTACGTTTCAGATCTATCTCAGACTCTGTATAAGTATTTGATTCTGAATTCACAAAAACGTTATTATGATGCTGCACGTGCTCAGACACAGACACCACATTAGATGCAGAAGCAAGATCAGTGAAACTTGCCCCACGATCAATATGATCATCTTCTAATGGTTGTTTTTCTGAATCAATATTATAGTCTCCTGGACCTGGAAAAATTCAAAAGTTTTAAACAAAAGTTATCATTTTCACTTGCTTTTACAGCATCCAACACTGTGATCACTTTCACTTGCTTTTCGTAAGGAAAAACGCTATAAGCAATGTATATTGAACCTTCGAGAAGATGTAAAATTGGATTAAATTAGGCAGTCCAGTGTCTTCCGACTAACTCTACACAATACCTTTGTCTTCTGCTATCCATTGTAAAACAGAATCCACAGAAGGGGGTGACAAGGCAGGGGCCAGTAGGTAAAGATTTGAGCCGTCATTGAGATGATGCAAGGGAATACCAAGGGAAGCTCCTTGGAAAAAGTGTTTATTTCCATCCTTGTTGATTCCGGTGTCCTCCAAGGGAAAAAATGGGATGTCCTTGGAATTCCCCTCTTCCAAGAGAAAAAAAAACAACAGGATGTCAGAAGTATCTCAGGTCGAAGTAAAGATAAATAAAGAGCACAGCCAGAGAGAAGTTCTGCAAAAACTAAAGTTGACTTAACTTCAATTTTATAAATTTATATTTCAACCGCATTTGCATTAATTGTAGAAGTAGCAAAAACTAGAACCAGAACATGATGAGTAAAGGTACCACATCCATCATGCTGTTTTTCCCTGGCATGATGAAATTGGGCGAGAATATCGTGAGAATGTCCAGAATCGTGCAGTCCAGAACTTAGGCAATCCACAGAAGGAGGCTTCTTGCTTAAGGTTAGGCATATTAATCTTCCTGTCTCAACAATTTCATTGGCAGTTGACTCTTGCTCCCTCCCCGATTTTTGGACATCATCTATTTCAATCCCAAGAAGTTTATTGCTAGACACTAATGTTCCTGATTCCACAGTTTGTGGATCCTTACCAAGTGAAACAGTGGTAAATGAAAAATTCCTTACAACTTCATCACTGTTTTGAAATGCCGTCTCTTTAGCCGAACATCTACCAACGGAATGAAGTTCAGTCATCTGAGTGGATATATTACACTCACAAGTTCCATCATCTATAGGAGATAAAGTTGAAGGAGCATCGCCATAATCAACTTCACTAAATTCTGCAGAAAGAGCAGGACCTTGTTTTTCAGCCTCAGATCTCAAGGTGCACTGCTTTTTTTCCCCGTGTGGTGAATCTCTAGACTGTGGTAGAACCTTTCTAAATTTCATATGTTGTGAAACAGGCGAGTCTCCATGGCATAACCGTTTTTTCCTCATCAAGTCCCGCAGAGAACATCCAGCCAAAACGTTTTTGTCAATCGAATTACAAACATCTGCTTGATGTTCTTTGACTGGAACATTATATTTGTCTGTCGTCTCATTCATGGGGTGGTCTGAATTAATCTTTGTTAAACCAAGTTTATCACTAGTATTTGTACTGTCAAAGTCATTCTGAAGATTTTTGGTCAGTGTAAAAAGTAAAGGTCCCCATACTGAGTTGCTAGGCTTGTTGCTCTTAGAGTAGCTCCTGTTCTTATTCTCCATTACTTCACTCTTTCTGTATCTCTGGAATGAATTTTCGCTTGCGCCATTTGAAGTGGAGATATCTGGAACATCACTAGCGACTTCTGTTTCAAGAGATTGTTTGTCCGATGAAGTTATAAGATTCTGGCTATCAGGATTACTAGGTAAAGCTCTCTTTGTTGAACTCCCGAAGTCTGGTAGATCTTCCTGAGAATCAAGAATGTCTTGACATTCCTTTTGGGATTGGCTCACATAATCTGTACTAGCCATTTCAAGAACCTTGTTAATGGAAGCTAAAGGCAAAAGAGGACTAAGGATAGTTTCCCGGAGAATTTCATCATCAGAGTTTATGTCCTCTGCAGCCTGGGATGAGGCAAACCACTTAAAGAGACCCAAGGCTTCAGCATCTTGTATTTCAGCAGGTGTATCTCTGTCCATGGGTGTTTTCATATATTCATCATTTTCCATTGATGCTTCTCCATTCCTCTCACCAAGTGGAGAAAGCTGTTCTGATGCAGGAAACTTACTGCTTGTACCAACCATATGATTCAAAACCTGCAGATCACTAATTTCAGGTTTGGCATGCCTATCTGGACCGGCTGAAGATACTGCAGTAGGCTTCATATCAGACTGAGACAAGTCAACTTCGTTATGCATTTCTTTAAGCATATTCTCAAACCCAACATAATCTGACATAGTCTTCAACACATCTGCTGCAGATGGTTTGCCAGGATCAGGAGGTATAGGTGCATCATGCACGCCAGTCCTTTCATATTCCTCCTGACACAACAGCGACGAGGTTAGGCGAGGTAATACCAACTAAATAATTTTCAAAGTAGAGCAAAGAAAGTTAGAATGAACCTCCCAAATTGCCACAAGCGACTGAACCATGTTAGTATCAGACTGGGCTTGTGAAAGGGAGTTGTACATTTTAAACTGTTGATTGAGAATATCTACAAGAGAAGAGGCTAGTTCAAAGGTCCGTTCATATATGAAACAAAAAAATTATATTTCGTTTCAGGAAAATTACCAGTAATAGTAGCATCTCCCTCAAGTTCACAGAGACTCTGACGTCTGTAATAGTGCCTATGCTGGCTCTGGCTCAACGGTGTATCAGATTCTTCTGAGATATTCCACATCCATTGACCTGGGATTGTTGACAAGCTCCAAATAGGAAAACTGACGCTTGCAGCAGCACTTGAATTTGCCTGCTATATTGTTTCAGTACTATGAAATAAAAGATGATAGAAAGTACCAAACAATATATTGCCAAGCTTCAAGTATTTGAAGATCTACCTTTGTTATAGCCACTTCGTCAATCCTTTGTCCCGCACAATCTTCCAAATCAAATCTCCTTGGAAGGAAATGGTGAGGAACTGGGCTACGGAACTTCATCTTTGATATATGCACATGACACATTCCATACAAATTATAATCAACCTATAGAGGAGAATCAAAGAAACTTCAGTAGTGGAACGCAGACAAATGTCGTGGAATTACCGAACAAGGGAGGGGGGACACTACGCATTAGTATCTAAGGTATGGTTGGCAAGTGTTCAAGAGCAAATATATAAGTGGAAAGTAGCTGAAAACTGACAAGAAATGAAGGCTTCAGGGCACCAAAGGATATACTATATAAAAGATGTATATAATCCACAAACATAGAAAAAGCATTCCCCAGCTACATTATATGTTTCCTCTTTTCATTTTTAATTTAGCAGCTACCAAAATTCTAATTACATTTTGATATTTACATAATCCATAGCAATACCAGTAATTTGCATTGCATAAATTCAGAGCTGATTCAAAAGCAATCAACTTTCATACACCAGTTTTAAGCTTTCAAATGTACATAGTGTATTATCAATCTGGAAGTTACGTTCATATCTGAAATTGCTAAATTTGACAAAATACCTAGTCACTAAACGAATTCTTTTGAATACATAACAAATGAAAAATTACCAGAAACTGGAGAATAAAAGGAATATGAGACTCGTAAGGCTGCAAACTTTTACCAAGAACAGCACCTGCCTAGAGAGAAAGAAAAAAAACAAACGCTCATTACAAAAGGAAGATGATAAAGGGTTATCAGTATACTATTTTCACCAAAAGTTTATGCATCATACATAAAGTAAAGAATAATGGTGGAGTGTAATCATCAAGATATCGTACCAGAAGAAGACTGGCAGCACGAGCCACATCGGGTGGATGGTAGCTATTACACTGTTAAGGCGAACAAATAATAAACTGCTTAAGAAAAGGGTATAGCTCTAAAAGTAAATATACAGGATACAGATAAATCTTCACAAAAGCCTCCTCAGTTGAGTGGTACCCATAAAACTTCTTTGCTCTAACAATCTCACAATCATGGACATGTTGCCTTTTTGAAGCAGCATTGCCCTTAAGCTACAAGTCCAAATCAAGTATCATCAGGGACGAATATTGAATGAGACACATCAACAGCAACAAAGTCAGAAGAAAAAAAAAAAAAAAAATACATAAACGCAGCTCATAGACTAAGAAATCATGGCACACTTGGTATGTAAAATACACACCTTTAGAGCCTTCTCTAACTCAAGGGATAAAGCAAGTGTACTTCCATCAGCTGAAACAAAAGACACATGAAAAATGGCATTGGTGCTTGACTAGCTAACTGCGGGACATATCTCGGTTCAGTTATAAATGGGCTATGGGTTCATACATACCTCCTTTATGATGCTCAAGTGGAATCTCCGAGCATGGAATATAGAGATATGGTAAAGCCTGCAAGAGAAACAAAGTTTCCAATCTGAGCAACTAGCAAACAATCTTTTTTTCTTAACAAGAAAGTAAAATTAAGAATCTTACACGATGAATGTGCAGGCAAGTCTTCTGACCAGCAGGTGTAGAGCCATATATCCTTATAACAGGGACTTCGTTTACCTCACCACCTTAAAATCCCAGCAACAACAAAGTCAAAACTTGCCCTTTAACATCTAGGAGAAGACTATCTAACGAAATTGGAGCATTACTTCTTCATTTCCATAGTCAAAATCTCTAAAAATCCAAACAAATCAACCATTGGAATAAAAAAGGCGTAAGCTTTAGAAAGTATAAAGAGAGATTTTGCCTTACCTTGGAAGCTACTGTAGCAAATATCATAACCAGGGATAGGAGAAGCCATGTAATAATCTATTGAAACAATCCTTAAGCTGAAAACATTGGAACCGGACTGAGAATCAGCCATGGCTGCTTCGCCGGGACTTTGACCGGAACCACGAATCATGATTTGGCGCTAGTACCCGCCGTTGTTTCTCTCTAGTAGTGCTAGACAAAATCCGAAACCGAAAAATCAAACCGGACCATTCGGTTTTAGATCTTCAAACTAAACGGTTCTCTTTCTTCAAGTTTGTTCTACTCTATCCCGGCTATTTAACCGTTCTCTGTTAAAAAGGTCGCCGGTGGAAATGTAGAAAAAAAGCAGAAAAAGTAACCAACATTTACTTACTGGGCCTGATAAATTTACTGGGCCAACCTAAACTTTAATTATCCATTTTATGCTTTTTTTTTTAATATTTATCCCACTTAAAAAGTTGGAATTTTTTGTCCCCTTGATAAATCTAAACCCAAATCAACACTTTTGTCAAAGAAGTTAGAACCAAAAGCCTAAGTAAATCCAATCAAAAAAATAATTACATGATCCCTTCATGGGATCATTTTATTCCCTAAAAGGTCCCCAAAACTACATCAATTTACATGCATATATGACTAGTATTTGAATGTCTAGAGGTGAAATCAAGGTTAAAGAATAAAAGATTGCAATGCGATACAATATGTTCTCGTTCGCTCTAGACATTGGTGTTATCATCAATTTTATAGACATTGGTATGGTCGGTCTTTTCGAATATAAATTAATTATTTTTGAGACGGGCAAGAACAAAAAATTAGTTTAAGGATTACATGGTTTATTTTGAAAGTTTAAATGAAATGGTTTTACGGGATATTAAGCAGAAACTGTCGGACATTCTAAATCACAATGTGAATGAATTCTCGACCCTAGAAAAAAAGCTAAGATATTAGGTCATCGATCCTCAAAGAAAGCGGTTTCTTTGGAAGAAACTCGATCAAAATTGAAATTTCAAGTGGATTGTTCTTTGGAAGATATGAGATATCAGATCTTGTATGTATCTATTCAAATGAAGAAAAAGACAGGTGCTGGTAGGTGCCCGTTAATTGGGAGTTGTCCTTTTAAAAAGATGAGAAAAAGACGAGCAAAATAAAAGACAAAGCCATTTTTTTTTTTTCCTCAAAAGACAAAGCCATTTAAAGCCTAAGTATAACCCATTTGATTCAATTTCCATAACAAATAATTATTCAATGAAAACAAATCGACCACTAGTGACGTAACGACCTCGTGTAAGAACTATCAAAGAGATACAAAAAAAAAAAAAGGAAAAATAAAAGACAAAGAATATATAATTGAATCAGATTTTGTCGATGTTCTCAGAGACGTTCTTCATACGTGGACGAACTTCAGGGTCACCTTCAGTACAAGCGAGAGCTAAGTGAAAGACGGACAAGACTTGTTGCTTGGCGTGAACTTCTTGAAGTAACATTGGATCAACCATGTCCGACAATGGAGTCTCCTCTTCAAATCCTTTCCTCACCCACTTCACCAAATCCGGCACCTCAACAACCACCGTAGACGACGAGGAGGAGCTTAACGGAGAAGATTCCGGAGACTTCCCAGTGAGAAGCTCCATAAGCACAACACCGAAGGAGTAGACGTCCCATTTCTGAGTGGGCCTCCCTCCAGGGAGACGGGCCTCAGGGGCTTTATAGCCGTTAGATCTATCAGAGGGTTTGATGGAAGTGTAAGGGAGAGCTCCACCTAAGAAACCGCCCGCAGCAGAAGAGGAGGAAGGTTCGTTAGAGAAGGCGGAAGGGGCAGTGATGGTAATGAGACGTGTGAGACCGAAGTCGGAGATGTAAGGAGTGAAGGAAGAATCAAGAAGGATGTTGGAAGGCTTGACGTCGCCATGTACCAACTTCCTTGGACTACACTCGTGTAGATAAGCTAGCCCACGTGCAGCTCCTTTTGCGATCTTTAGACGCGTTGACCATGTTAGGCTCGGTGATGGTTGACCATTCCTCCCTATTCACACACCCAAACAAACAAGTATCAATAATTCAATATTAAAGTAAGCAATGAGTTACGATGAGAAAAAGACGGGACAACTAGAGGATCGAGAGAGTGGGTGGGTAATTGGGTATATAAAATCATTACTCTTAGCCCACAAGTAAACCTTTCTCATCATTGTTTCCTCACTCTTTTTTTTACCAATTACTTCTACTCTAAGACTATACCACACTAAATCATACTAATACTTAAAAGAGATTTATTATTCAGACAGGTAGAATTCTCTTACAAGACATGTCTCTTTTACATGTAACTTGTCTAAACTCTAACCTATTAAAATACCAAAATATGCCTAAAAGGAGAAAGAATCATCGTTTACTTTAAAAGAAAAAGGCAGCTAACTGATCATTGTTTTCAAAAGAATTTTGGAGTGTGTGTAGATACAAAAATAAAAATATTTGTGTGTAATTAAGCTTGAAGAATTAGTAGAGAGGATCTTTGCCACAAAATGAAAATAAGATTTAGACCCCACAAACTGTCTCAGATCTAACTTCAGCTCACTAATGTCTAATCTAGCGTTGACAAAGTCAAAGTCAACTTAAATTCTTAAAGTCAATAGAACATAACAGGATCTTAATCTTTAGTTAGCAAGGTTTACCTCTAAGAGCATCAGCTAAACTTCCATTGTTAACGAAGTCACTGATCAAAAGCTTCTCATCAGGAGCCCAATAATAAGCTCTTAGCTTAACCACATTAGGATGCTTCACTTTCCCCATAGCTTGAACCTCCGTAACAAACTCCTTATACCTCTGTTCTCCTCCTTCCCCAAGTCGCCGTACAGCCACCGGAACTCCGTTCCCTAACACCACTTTATACACTATCCCTAACCCACTCTTCCCCAACACATAAGCAGAAGCTCTAAGCAACTCATCAAGCTCAAACGAAAACCCTTTATCAATCGCTACAAGCTCTCCATCTCCTTTACCCTCTCCTCTCTCGTTCTCTTCCGCTTCCGAATCGTCTCCTTTCGGAAACCCCGCGATGCAACAACACGGTTTCCCCTTCTCCGAGCCACCAAGCTTCTCATTCCCTGTACAGCTACAACCTCCCTCAGAGTCTTTTTTCTTCCAGTACAAGTAAACTAACACCAGTCCGATTAAAGCTACACTCGCTGCATCCGCCACCGAGATCAACACGATTAATCCAGTACTTAACCCTCTTCTAGAATCCGCATTATTCTCCGGCGACTTTCGAGTCCCCGGTGAGTTCTCATCAGTGTCTTTACAAGCTTTCTGGAGAGGGAATCCACACAATTTCGGATTATTGAGGAATGCGGTTGGTCCTTGGTTAGAGAATGAACCAGATTGAGGAATCTCGCCGGAGAAATCGTTGTTCCGGAGATCAAGAGAGACTGTAACAGGTAGATTCCCTAGTGATTTAGGGATTTCGCCGGATAAATGGTTGAAAGAGAGATTTAAAGTACCAGAGAGAGATTTAAGTTCTCCGAGATCTTTAGGGATTTCGCCGGTGAATTCGTTAGCAGAGAGATCAAGCTGAGCTAAATTCTTCAATTCCGGCCAGATTTCACCAGGAATTTCACCGGAGAAGTTGTTAGCGGCGAGGATCAACCGTTGAAGCTGTTTACACTGGTTGAGATCCGGTGAAAGAGTTCCAGAGAGCGAATTCCCAGACAAATCGAGATTCTGAAGCTTTGGGAGATGACAGATCGAAGGAGGGAGAGAACCAGAGAGATTATTTCCGTATAAGAAGAGACTATGAAGCGACGTCGCGTTGAATAACTGAGTCGGAATCGAACCAAAAAGCTCGTTGTTATGGAGGTTAAGACGGCGGAGGTAAACAAGCGAGCCAAGCTCCGAGGGGATGTAGCCACGGAGATGTTTTCCGGCGAGGGAAATTCCAACGACGCGAGAGTCGGAAGACTCTGAGATGTTCATACAAGAGATTCCAGACCAACGACAAGGATCGGAATCGTTATCGTTCCAGTCGGAGAAAGGGGAGGAGGAGGATTGATCGACGGCGGATTTGAGTGAGAGTAAAGCGAGACCGTCGGGAGAAAGAGAAAGAGAAGGAGAAGTGTTGAGGAGATGAAGAAGAAGATGAAGAAGAAGTGAGAGAAGGATCATTTCTCTGTACTTCAATTTTTTTTTTTTTTTTTTTTTGTGTGGAATTAACAGAGAGTGAAGAAGGTGGGTGAAGGAAGATGACGAACGAATGGGAGATTGGTTGGTTCTTCAAGGGTATTTATTTATGTTAGTTATACTTTTTTAATCATATTGTAATCAATTAATTAATGGGAAACTACATTACATCAATTAATGTCAAATATTTAATACTTCAAAACAAATGTGATTTTCCCTAATTTCATTTGACATAACACATTTTTGTAATAATGTTTGCTAAAATATTGATCGGTAAATTCTATATCGATGTAATTGTTACTAATCGTGAAAAAAAGAATAGAGGTACGTATTACAGTTTACCTTTTTATTGCTATGTATATTTCTTTTACATCTCTATACTATTAAAAGAGAAGTACAAATAAAAATGGGTCGGACTAAAATCAGAAAATTGACCCGAAATTCTGAAATCGGATCTTTGAAATTTTTTTGAATATAAATTCGAATTAATAATGAAAAATCGAAATAAAATCAAATATTTATAGAAATCAAATAAAATCTGATTGTACTTATGGTAACTAATAATAAAAGCATATTCCAAACAAAATTATACATTAATTACGTATAATAAATTTGTTCATAAATTTTTGGGACTAATTCTATAACAATCAACGTTTTTGTCATTAATTTCGCTCATTTTAGCCAATTATCATTAATTGAAAGATATTTTACTTGCTTCTAAAGATTTCTAGAAAATTTATCACAAATAACCAGTGTTCAAAAAAGCGCTAGGCGGTATCTAGGCGGCGACCTTCAGCCTAGCGCCTAGAACGCCTAGTCGGGGCCTAGCCGATTTTAAGCGGAATAGGCGGTTTTAGCATTAAGCACTATATATATATATATAATTATAAATATATAAGTATATAACACGATAAAAAATCTAAATCAAATATAGAAAACCTAAAATATGTCAAATTAAAAAATATGAATCAAAAGTTTTCACTTCAAAGTTCAAACACTAAATTTCAAATTAAATAAAGAAGCAAAAAGTCTAAAATAAGAAATAAACTAAATTTCATATTTTTTAATCAACTAAATAACAGCACTTAAACTTTGTTTTGTTACTTATTGATTTATTGTGTAAATTGAATTGATTCATAACAAATACAAACAGAGAATATAAAATAAATCTAAACACTGGGATAATAATCGAGTAGGTTACCACTTGCCAGAGATTATGAGAAACAAAGAAACGATGAAACTAGATGACGCAGGTTTCTCTTTCGTCGAGACTTGGGAGAATTGGCTGAAAACAGAGTTGATTTCGGAGAAGAGAGACGACGAATCGTGTTGTTGTGGCCTTGTGGGACGTGGGTTTAGCTTCAATTAAAAAAAAAAAAACCTTTTCTCTTCTTTTAAACGACGTCGTTTGAGAGATTTTGAAATTTATAAAAAAAAACCTAGGCGAAATTAAACCGCCCAGACCGCCTATACCCGCTTAATCACCGCCGGATCCGCCAAATTCAACCCAACGATTAATACTCCCGATTTTATGAGAATCCAAGCGGTCTAGGGACGCCTAGCGCCTAGGCCGCTTTCTTGAACACTGCAAATAACCCATCTGTTTTATAAATTAAATTGATATTTTTATTTTGGTCGTGTAAATTAAATAGATATTTTTATTTTGGTCATGTAAATTAAATAGATATGAAATCCATGTAACTAATTTTAATTTAATTAGATTGAATCGAAATTATGATATTTTCATACCTATAGCTTACCAAAGAAGTTTAATTTTCAATTTATAAAGATTTCTTGAATATGATTTTAGAATTATTCAACAAGATGATAAGTATTTATTAAATTTTGTGAATCATGAAAAATAATAATTAATTTTTAATCATTATACTTCATCTTCCAATCTCTCATCTAACAAATAAGATACATATTCTATTATTATTATGTCCAAACTTCATTTTGTTGTATGACTAAATAATATTCCCATTAGAACTGTCAAAGCGAGTTGATTCGTCCCGTTAAGTCCGTTTTGCGATAGACAAAAAATATTTTGACTTGTAGTTAGTCGGTCCGCACGACCCGCGGGTAGCATATATGAAATACAACCCCGTCCCGCGAATGTATGCGGATTTGCCGGATTGTCCATGGATTTTGTTTTAAATAATTTTAAAGTAACCAAAATTTAAAATACTACTAAAATAAATAAATAAATAAAAATACTATTAAAAGTTTGTTTAAATTACCACATGTTGAATAAATTATAATTTTATCAATAAATACTAATATGCGGGCTGATCCGCCAACCCGCGGATGAAAACCGATTAAACCTATGACCCACTGCGAATTAATCTATGTGGCCCGCTTATTTGCGGGTTTAATATATTTTCCCAAATCTGCTCCATAGTGAGATGATGTGGGCTCGACCCGCGGTTTTTGACCTATTTTGACTGCTCTAATTCCCATGAATCGTCTAATTTTAGAATTTTAAAACACAAAATTCTATTTTGTAAATCATAATTAATACGATGGGTATATTTATAAACAATTTTATATTTTCTCTATAATTCGTTATTATGAATATTTATAAGTATACTATACGATTCGTTCTACTAAAAACACACACACAATATTAAACGCAACGTATGTAAACCAATATTCTCCCGCGGTGGACCGCAAGTCCGATCCTAGTTAAGAGTTTGAATGGTAACCACGTATAACTGCAATATGAAGTGTCGGTTTAACAGTTATCAATCACAAAAACGATATTAAAAGCGTTATCAAAAATTTTACTCTTAACTGTTTTTGTACAGATTTTATATATTACTATTTTGTAGAGCTTTGTATTATTCCACTAAAACTTATTGTTCCAACTAACAGTTAAAAAAATTATACAGTTTTGTGTTATCAAGTAGAACCTAAAATTTTTATTGTTTGGAATCATAAATTAGACCCGCAGTTAACATAAAATTATCCAAATTAATAATGTGTGTATATCGGTGAGAAATTGATTTCATCATTTTCTACTAATTTACTAACGGTGAGTATTGTAATTTTGAGATTTTGTGAACAAAGGTAAAAGTATGATGGCATGTGGAATTAATTGCCACTAATTTATGTATAGATAATAATAATTAAAAAAAAGAGAGAGAGAAAAATATCATAGTGGTCCTCATTAGCCTAATCCAATTGTAGATTAAGGTAATAAGCAGAGGGATTAAGTAAGTGTTAGGGATTATCAAAATAAAGGAGGTACGGAACACAATTGTATTTTGGGAAAAATGTCATTTAAATTATCAGTTTGTCATTTTCGTTGGTTTAAAGCATGAACTCTGGAGCTGGTGATTTAAATCCTCATTTTATGTAGATCTGATGATTTAAATCCTTAATTTTATTTTGACTTTCAATTTAATCACGAATTCTCGTTGACTAAGCCAATTAAGGCACATTGTTAACTAGCTAAATGAAGCAATCGAACGAAGAGAAAGATGGAAACCAATGTTGGTGTAGAAGAAAAATTATGTGATAGCTTCGAAGTGCCAGTTATGACATTGTCTTATTGATCAATTTAGCTAATTAGCGATGTGCTTCAATTAGCTTTGTTAATGAGAATTCATGATTAAAATGAAAATCAGTATAAAATTAAGGATTTAAATCACTAGATCTACAATTCATGATTTAAACCAACTAAAATGGTAAAGTGATGATTTAAATTATATTTTTCCCATTGTATTTTTGTAACTCCTTGGGAACTGTTACGGTCATGGTCCCTCACTTAGCCGTCGAACTAAATTCCATGCCTTTGACACGTGCTCGGTGTCTCTTAAAGTTTCTGATACTATAGAAGTTTTAATTGAGTTTTAGAAACTTTTTCTTATTATTTCAAGTTTGCGACTAACGTTATAGAAATCTTTTATAAAGGGGTTATGAAAATAGTTTAAAATGAATTTTTAGTAAATGACAGCACTAAACTATTATTATTTGGGATGTGTTGTAATGTCACCATATAAAATCATTAAAACAAGCTTAGAAGCAAACTAAAGCATGAAATCTATGATATTATCTGAATTAAGATGAATTATGATCAGAGACAACTTACAAAATGAGATTAAATCATTTATTAATTACATCATGTGTACCTACTGTCTACTATACTAGGATAACATTATTTCACAGTCATTTTGGATAAAAATTTCACCGCCATTGTTGCTAGTAATGCTTACAGATTCATTTGGTTTTGGGTTGCTTAGCTAAGATTCAATACTATTCACTTGATCAAGAAACTGAACTATTTACCATTTTGGTATGAGTTTTTTTTTTCCGACCAGTGTTGTCCGCAACTGTAAAATATACAGTACATCTACATCATACATGTGGTAGTTCGATTTGTCGAATGGACCAACAAACTACTCTCACGTGTTACCAAATACCAATACATATATTCTATCGGTACGGTGTGAATATGTAACACATATATAATATAGTCTCAAGATTGAAAATGAATATCGGAAAGATACTCAACTTTAGTAGATCTTCAAAATTTTGTGTTACCAAAAAAAAAAAAACTTTCCACTACAAATACATGGTTGAAAAAATATTCTCCCGATTTTTGCTTTTTCTCATTTCCTCATTTGTTTTTTCATTTTTCTTACATCATTTACCCGTCACACCCAATTCATTAAAAGAATAAAATAGAAAGAAAAAAAATGAGTATAGTGATTCCTAGGTATAATGATGATTTTGATTATCTATTACAAATTCTACACCAAGAATATTAATGATGAGATCAGCATATTGGAAGAAGATGAAGCACTCATTGATTCCACCATTTGGATGAGTTTCTCTCAAGAAACCGTAATCCTTTTGCTTTGCACCCAAGTCATATTCTTTTTCTTATTTCTTTTCGATTATCTTTGTCCTTAGGTCTGTCTTGTATTATTTTTGCTCCCATATATCGTCTTAGACGTTGAAGAAGAGAGGCCCTATTTTGCTAAATTTAGGTATGACCATAATTTTATATGAATAAACTAGTGTAGACGTATATCTCAAGGCAAACAACATCTAGCTAGTAGCTGGTTTTCTACGGAATTTCTTTTAGATTAGTTATAGTTCACGAGTTCAATATATATGTTTCTTCCTGTTAATACCTATGAATATCAAAATAGGTCAATTGTTAGTTTTCTATAGCAGGATTCGGATACCGAATCTACATATTTTATGGTGGATAAGTGATCCAATTGTTAGTCGATCTTCTATAAGGAGTCACATGATTCGAATTATGCATGTATGTATAATGATACTTTATATATTACTTGTTCTTGTATGTATTCTAATTCCCGAATGTATAATCCGTGTATATATGTTACGAAGTTAAACCTTTCAAGTAACAATGAGATTCACATACTACAATATATCAGTTTTCTTGGTATCAATTCACCTTGCTTCCATCACCGTGATGGTAATATTCGGGGATACATTTTCCAGCTCCGGTGACTCAACCTCCATCTCCGGAAAAGCTTCTCCGGGGACCATCATAGAAAGCAGGCTCTTTAGGCAAAGAAAGAGCATTATTTCCTTCGCCGTATATCATCGACACAACGTCTAACATACTTGGTCTATCTTCTGCGTTTTCTTGTACACACAACAGAGCAACTTGAACGCATCTCAACACTTGAGGGTAATCAAGCGCCGAATCTCCCAAAGACAGATCTATCGCCTCGCGAATTTTTTTCTCTTTAAACAGATTCCACACCTGAAAAAACAGAGATCCAAAAACTAAACAAGCAAGCAAGAAAGATGAGAATGTTAACAAATGAGAGAAGAAGATTAGGTTTTACATGAACTATGAGATTCAAAGGTCCTTCTGAGTCATGGTGGAAGCTATTGTTCTTCCTTCCACAAATGATTTCTAGCATTAGAACCCCAAAGCTGAACACATCTGATTTCGCCGAGAATAGTCCTTCTCTGAAATACTCCGGCGACATATAGCCACTACACAAGAAAGTCTATTAAAATTTGATCAAAGAATCTTCTCCTTGTTTCTAGTTACTCTTAACTTACAATGTGCCAGCAACTCTTTTGGTGTTGGCTCTTGTTTCTTCCGCTCCAAATATCCGAGCCATTCCAAAATCCGATATTTTCGGATTCATATCCTCGTCTAGCAAAATGTTACTCGCTTTGATGTCTCTGTGTATCACTTTCAACCTCGAGTACTTGTGAAGGTAAAAAGCCCTTGAATTATTCCTTCCATGATCCTGAACCGCAACGTCCAATCCAAAACGTTTTTCCTCAAGGGATCTGCACACATTTGTAGACATTTTTTTCAGATGAAATCCATATAGATTCTTAGCTCCTTTAACGAAACCTTACCAAAGAGGAAGTAGTCAAGACTCTTGTTCTGCATGTATTCATATATCAGCATTTTCTCATCTTTCTCGACGCAACATCCAAGAACCTGAACAAGATTTGTATGCTGAAGTTTTGCAATAAGCATAGCTTCATTCTTGAACTCCACTAAACCTTGCCCAGAAGCTAAAGATAGTCTCTTGATAGCCACTTCTTCCCCATCTATTAACTTCCCCTTCAAGAAATTAAGCGGAAACATAAAAATCAGCTTTTAAGTTAATATCAAAAACATGAAGACTCTGGACTACCTTATATACAGGACCAAAACCTCCTTCACCGAGCTTGTTTTCATCAGAGAAGTCATCTGTTGCCAATACTACGCTTTCAAAGCTAAAAATCAGAAGCTCGTTATTACTCTTCCTTTCACTTCTCTTGTGTCGGCGTCTCCTATCAATTCCCAATTCACGTAGTAGCATTTCTTGGTCTATTGTTGAACCAAACCTTATTGATAAAAGTCTCCTCCGTATGAAACCAATCACTAACATATTAATAGCAAACATCACATTTTTAGACATAATGCTTATACAAAATTTATTCAGCTAAGTCTCATGTACGTACCTTGTGGAGTGATTTCTCTCCATAGAAAGTAGTATATTCCACGAAATAAAACACTTACTGGATTACAAAAAAAAAGTCTGAACTTGTTAGTAAGAAAACTATTGGGACTAAAACTGTTTTGAGTAATTCTGATACAATTTTCTACCTTTTACTTTAAATTTCCGCAACACAAGATAGATTATAAACCAAATCATAGGTATCATTAGGCACATTGATGCCAAAACAATTTGCCAAGCTGCTACCTTTTTCTTCTCTTGGCCTACCGAATAATCTGTATTCCAGAAAACTTAGTGTCCAAAAGATTTGATATATAGTTACTTAAGCGACACTGAAAAAAAAAAGAAAAAAGAACAGAGAATATATTTCCACAAGTTATGTACCATTACGGATGTATATAGTTCTAGGTCTATGAGAAGACGACCCATTGTTGGTAGGATAAGTATTCCAGATTTCACAACCCGTACCATCCAGCTCGGTTGAAGCATATGCAAGACAAGAGGAGTTTTGCACACATATAGCATTGCAATCAACTAAACGAAACCTTCCACTAGTCTCATTAAGTACAAAACCATTGCTTGAGGAAGAAGATACTGTCACTCTGAAAGAAGTGAACCCATTTGAATATGACTCATCCGCGACGTTGTTACCTTTGTAACCTGCGGCCAAACAATTCTGATTCCTAGAATTTTGCCAGTAACTATCATAATTACGTGTCTGATGAATTTTTGCTCTATGCAAAATGCCTTGTTGGTCTATCATTATGGTGGGAAAAAATGTTATGGCATCGTTCTGATCACCTGAATAAGTAAAATACTATTCACTCTTGGTTGAAACGAAGGAAAAGAGCAAACCACAATCGTTTAACTCCTCTTCGGAAAACCGACCTTTATACCAGAGCCCGCTTGTCCAATACATGTTTCCACGCCACAAGATGGTCAATCGGTTTGTAATATTAGCATCCATCCCAAAGACAAAAGATCCAGAAGCAGGTAAAGTATCACCTAACCATGATGTCAGTTCCCATCTCTTCCCAGTCTTGACATCGAAACCGAGTTTCATCCCAGGAAGAAGGGTATCTGTTGGATAATCAAAACTTTGCCACAAAACCCGCTTCATCGATCCATCAGAATCCATCTCTTGGAGCTGAAGATTTCCAGAATCCAAAAGCTTAAGGGTTGTGTTTCTTCTGGTTTCCGTAGAGCTTAGCTCAAGCATGGTTGATGCTCCTCTTAAAATCCTCAATCTGCCAAGAGAATCCACTGTGAGGCTTCCAGAGCGTTCCGAGATTGGATTGTTACGGTTAGCAATCCAGACAGCTCTATCCTGGATATCAGTATTAAGATAAAGATTGTTGAACCAAATTCCAAGATACCAGTTTCTTGAATTCTTGAAGTTGAAAAACTTGAGTTTGAAGATTTTGAAAGCAGAAACGAGCTCTTGCCCATCTTTCAAGAACTGACCCTGATGTAGCGTATCTGTTTCACTGCATGATTGCCCTAACAAGAGAGATAAAGTAAAAAGAGAGACAAAGATGCAATTTGAACACATAGTTTCAAGAAAGATGGATAATTTTGGGAAATAGATTTCTCTCTAAAGTGGTCTTCAAGACATATCTCCTTTGTGATCAAAGTCTAACTCAGAATTAGTTCCAAGTCTACGTACGTACTACGCTGGGAGACAAAATTGAAGTCTTGGCCGTTGAAGTTTCCGAGGTACAGCTGTTACAAAACATATTAGAAAGAAAGTGAAAATGACCACAAATTTTGAAGTTGACTCTTTCAATGAAATTATTTTCCCAAAAGCTTCTTGTATTGATTGAATGGGAAAATACTGTTAGAGCACAAAATAATAACTCTGTTTTACTTGGTAAGGAGACAATTTTATTGGTTTTAAGGGTAGAGAAGAATACAAGAATCAGACTTACTTTGTAACATATATATATATATATTTGGTTAGAAAAACTCTAGAAAACTGTATATTTCATTTTAATTGTCTCCCTTTAAACAAACAAAGCCTATGTATATATCCATAGAGCTCATTAAAAGTCACAAAGTCCAAATAAACGTTTGCAAATTAAATACTTTAAAGGTGGTCTAATGGTTAAAACTTCTAAGACTGTAGTAAATGTTTATGGTTAAGTCTCTATTCAAAAAAAAAAATGTTTATGGTTAGTCACTGTAGATGTTTTAAATGACAAGTTCAACGGAATCCGGGTTTCGGTAGGATTCCCGAAACCCGGACTAACCCTGAATTAGTCCGGGTTTCTGGTAATCCTTGGTTATAAAAAAGAAAGAAAAAAAGTTTGTAAATACTAATTTTTTGTTTGCGAACAAATTGTTTTCAAGAAAACATTAACTCTAATAAAAACAGAGAAGAAAGAGAAATTACCGGTTCGCTTGGGACGACCATCGTCATCGAATAAATCGGAGCTATTCCTCGGAAGAACATCCAAATCTTGAACATTCTTAACGACCATCTTCTTCTTCTTCTTCTTCTTGACAAAAGACCAAAATTTACAATAAAAATCCAAACTTTACCGACAGGAAAAACGGTTGAAAAAGTTTTACTTGTTTTCTTTTTTTTCTCGTTTAGATCTTGAATTTTTTAGACCAGAAGAAGTGAATGGAAAGGAATCAACGGTCACAAGAGACCGATGTTTTCTATGGACCAGAGATTATGTAATTGGAAGAGAGAGAAGCATAGAAATGGACGAAGAAGATATTAGAACTGCATGATAATAAAAACAGACCAAAGCTAAATTGTTATTTCACTAATTTATAATGGATCTGATTAAAATGGGGATAATCGAGAAATGCCTTGGTCAACTGTCCCGATCTCCTCCAAGTTCTTTGTGTTGGTAATCGCAGATTTTTTCAGAGTTTTGACGAACGTTGGTGTTGTAGCTAGAAGCCAAGAGGCTATAAAAATGGTACAACCGCTTCTCTTGATTTTGCTTAGGCAAGACTTGGATTTTCAAGGCCAACTCGGTGGTTTACAAGGTATAGCAAACATCTTGGAGAAGCCAATGGTTCTTGAATCATTAAAAATGGCATCATCCGCAATTATTATGCCTTTGATACCACTGCTTGAATCTGAATCTATAGCGGTCCAAAATGCAACCACAGAACTACTGACCTCTCTACTCGAAATGCAACGTTTCCAAGAAGAGATAACGACCAAAAATCTCATTGCTCCTCTTGTGAAACTTGTAGGGATCAGAGTAAGAAACTTACAAGAGATAGCATTGATGGGTTTAGAGAAATCCTCAGTTACATGGACAAAGGAGGTAGCAGATGCCGGAGGAATTCAAGAGCTCTCCAAGGTTATTATCGACGAAGATCCTCAGCTTCCTGTATATCTATGGGAATCAGCAGCCTTCATTCTCTGCAACATTCTCAGATTCAACCCAGAACACTAATACTTTTCAGTAACTATACCAGTTTTATCAAAAATGTTGTTCTCAACAGCTGAGAGCACAGTGATCTTAGCCATCGACACATTGATCATCCATGCAAATCAAGACTCCTCAAGTGTTCAAGAGATGGCAGAAGCCGGTGCACTAGACGCATTACTAGATCTACTAAGATCACACCACTGCGAAGAACTCTCCGCAAGATTACTCGAATTAATACTACGCAATCCAAAAGTTAGAGAGACAAAGATATGCCAGTTTGTACTAACCCCTTTATCTGAGTACATACTAGGCCTAGACACAGTATCAGAATCCGCAAAAATTCTCATAGCAATGGCTCTAGGTGACATCTCTCAACACGAAGGACTCGCTAAAGCCACAGACTCGCCCGTGGCATGTCGTGCGTTAATCAGCTTGCTCGAGGAGGAACCGAGCGAGGAAATGCAAATGGTTGTGATACGTGCTTTGGGAAACTTCGCAATGCATAGTAGAACAAGTCGTAAAGCTATGGCTGAAGCTGGTGGAGTATATTTAGTTCAAGAAATGCTAAAATCTTGTAATCCACAAGTTTCTACACAAGCAGCTCTAATTATCAAATCTCTCTTCTCTAATCATACACTTCAAGAATACGTCTCCGGCGAAATCATCAAATCTCTAACAAGTAAGTTCCGATTCCGAATTCAAAATTTATGATCGGAGAAATCAAACACTCACCGATTTTAATGCAGATGCGATGGAGAGAGAGTTTTGGACAACGGCGGCGATTCCGGTTTTGCAATTGATGATGAAATCGAAATCGAAATCGAAATCTCCAGCTCCGTCGAGCTTCCATGAGAGAGGTAACAGTCTCTTGAATTGTTTGCCGGGAAGTCTCACGGTGGCGATTAAACGCGGTGATAATCTGAAACGGTCTAACGCGTTTTGCAGATTAATCATCGATAATTGTCCCACCAAGAAAACCAAGGTAATATAATTATGGTTTAATCTGGTTTTATACGGTTCTAAGCAATTCGGTGCAAATCAATCCGATTTTAACCGGTATTAGTTCAATTCAATTTTCGATTAGAAGTTGATTAAACCGGTTTTGGTTCAGGTTGTGAAACGAAGCAGCTCACCGGTTTGGAAAGAATCATTTACATGGGACTTTGAAATCGTCTGCAAATCTAACAACATTCTGAGTCTTTCGCAGAATCAGTAACTTTTGAAATTGAATGTTAAATTTTGAAAAATCTTGGTAAAGTGAGGATACCAATTGACAAAATATTGACAGAAGGAAGTTACAGTGGAATTTTCAAGCTAAATGATGAAAGCAAGAAAGATGATTCGTCTGATAGAAGTCTAGAAATTGAAATTGTTTGGTCTAATTAGACATTTTAATTAATCCATAAAGGTGTTCTAATTACTGTAAAAAATGTTTTATTATATGCTACTTAAATTGTTTATATGTAAATTCTATACTTAAAAGAGTTATTATAATTGTGATGATGTCATGTTTTGGGAAGCTTATTGCAATTTGAAGAAACCCATCCGAGTTGTTGTTTCTCGTTGTCGTAGATTATCAGTAGCCCTTGCATAGAGATATCTTTAAAAGAAAACAGACGAAAGAAACAAAATTAGTTTAAGACAATAACATTATTGTTAAAGTGTTGATGTTGTTTGTTTGTTCGTCTTACCTCCGATTACGTTGGAGTTTTGTAATCCTACTTCACTTCCATTTAGTAGTCCCAAGCAGGCATTACCAGTTTTCTGAAGAAAAGAATAAAAATTCATGATTGAGTATTTTGAATGTGATGATGAGAGTTTTTTGGTTCTAATGAGATTTTCTTACAGAGATGATGAGATAAGATTCGGGTGGAATCTGGAGCTGAGTGTTTCTTCTGGCATTGGTAAAATTAATTGTTATTGTCTTGAAGAAGTTCTTGACCTCAAGAACAGATTTGAAGGGCTTAGCTCCTTTCCAGCAGATTGGTAAGGTCTTATCTTCTTTCGCAACCTTCAACGGTGAGACTTTCAGATCATTTCCGATCTGTTAACATGCGAAAGAGATCGCTCCGTTAGGTTACATACATTTTTTCTTTAGTTTTTGTGTTTCTTTAATTACCAGGTTAACTATTGTTTGGTATGTCTTGCTGTTGAAGTAAGTGTATGAGCTTCCGGTGTCAAAGATGAGTTTAAGTCCTTTTAAACCTGTTGGCTTTCCGTTGAAAAGAAGCTCGGCTGGTCCAGTCGTGTAGTGGTTGCTGAACAAGAATAGATGATCAGTACTAGTAGAGAACAATATAATCTCTCTGAAGCCGATCGCGGCAAATATGAAAGAAGAAAGTATACTCTGGTGGTAATAATGGTGTCCAGGCCACACCAAGGGAAGGAATGAGAGTGTCTCCAAAGAACAAATAGCCTCCACCTTTAGAACTTAGGCAATGTCCAACAACATTTCTCGTTAGTCCTGCGGACACAAGCTGTGTCAAGAGACCAATTTTCCCTCTCCCAAGCCCCAAAACTCCAGCAGTCGCGGGCGGAGGATGTGCACTAGGGTAACTCTGATCATAACCACACCTGAAAACACCAAAATTCCTTTCAAGAAATTTTACATTTTCATCATCTCAGGATTCACATGTCTTTTTTGTAGCTCACCCGAATGCTAAACGAGGTTGCATGGCCGAGCCATTTAGGAGTTTAAAAGGAAACTGATCAATAACAAGTGCACCCATTGATGAACCTTGATCAGCATAATTAACTTCATAGTCACATTGTTCTTTCGGGTTTGGACATTGAGGATTGTTAGGAAAGTGAAGTGCTAAACAAATCGGGTCTGAGCACGGGACAGTGTTTCCTTTAGGCTTGTACTGAAGTTTAGGAGGCTACAAAAACAACAAAACAGAGATCATAAGAAGCAGAGAATCCAATCAAGTTTCATTTTGAAAACAGAGAGAATAAATCAAAATAATATACATACCAAATTACAACCAGTGCAAGGAGCATCGCATTGAACCCAAGTGATATCACTACCAGTATCAATATCAAACTCAAATGCCTTTGGAGGGTTTCCTATTTGAAGTAAGACAGAGTAGTATCTACAAAGACAGAACAAAAACAGAGGAAAAAGTCAAAACATTGTTTTTTATTTTGTCAACAAGATAGAGAAAACATTGATGTTCTTACCCGAGAGGGAAGACGTTGCCGGAGAGAAGGAGGACGACTGAGGAAAGAGGAGATTTGGGAGAGAGATTACCGGGGAAGGTTTTGAAGATGGAAGATTTTGATTGAGAAACTATGACCAAGAACAAGAACAGAAGAAGAGAGAATCTTGAATTCATCTTGATCTTTGTTACTTGCACAACAAACAATAAAAGAATCCACAAACAGATGAAGATGATGAGATCTGATTATAAGAGATGTGGTCAATATATACGAATGTTGTAAAGGTCAATGGTCATGATGATCTAAGTCATATTTAATATATATCCTTAACAAGAAAAAGAAAAATACAGTAAGACATTAATTCTTTGTTTTAAGAGGAGAATATTAATTATAGAATTAAGTGTACACTATTTATGATTGTTAGTAATATTTTTCCTAATTTATCATTATTTTGCTTGTTTGTGATGAATAAATACAAATGATCGGGTGTATTTTGATTTCCCAAAATTAGGATGACTTTCCAAGCAAGAAGAAAATTAAATTATGGGCATAGGAAGAAGCTTCGTAGAAAAATATTGGAGGATTTCCAACGCGGTTTCGACACGGTTAAGGGTTTTGGTGATTTTGACACTTGTATATTTAAATAAATTAAATAATGAACAATTCAGATCAGTTGTATACTTATATTATGACATAAGAATTTATCATTCTTGGGCAAATTATCATTAAACTATAAAAATCTGTCACTTTTTTTTGGAACAATTTTTTTAGTTACAAAAGAAAAATAAGGTTTTAATATCAAGTTACATGACATAACATACATTAAAAGGGATTTGGGTCAAATCATGATAGGGTATATGCAAGGAGACTTAAATTCGGTAAAATTGATCGAGACATACTATTGTTGTGAACTATTTTAACAGGTTTCTCGACCACCATTAGTATTCTTCCCGGCTTGAGACCTCGGAGTTTTCTAGCACATTTTTGGGTTTACGAATGCGAGGGTGTCATCTTTTGACTGCCAAAAGCCATTACATGGCACAACAATGATGATAAACAAAAAAAAGACACCTGAAAAGTTCAGTGAAAAAAAAAAAAAAAACGTGATTTTACTGCATGTCCCATTTGAAAACTCTTATCTTAGCCAATCAATATTAGTAATCCACTATATCACAGAGTAACTTGTTTCAAACTTCAAGATCTCGCTTTTGAAGACCGCCTCAATATCATATTTTTCTTCTGTTTCTAGAAGATTGATGTTCTAGAGTTTTCACATATATTAAAAAGCAATCATTGTTTCATTATTTGTCAATTGCTTTTCTAAATTAAACATTTTTAATAACTTTGAAACAATAATAATATGAAACAGTTAATCATTGCGTTTTGAAAATTACTATACATTAATGTCAATCAATAAAAAATAAAACAAAAACCTAAAAATCAATTTTTGTGAAATAAACTAAAAAACTAAAACATCAAATTTCTAGGAACAAGGGAAGTAAATTCAGAAAAGAAAAAAAAAACTTAACAACTTTGGTTGACTTTTATAGTTTTTTTTTTTTTTTTTAATCAACGACTCTTATAGTTAAACCCGATTCAAAACCAATTGTTAACCAATAATAATTGAACTTAGCCAGACAAATTGATTCTAAATCTGAACCACACTTTAACCAACTCCTGTTTTACCTCAAGTTCAATCGTTATTTGTCACACTTTGGTCAACAACCACTTTAAATGATACCTAATGAATAAATGAAACCAAGTAGTTTAAAAGTTTAAAAGTTTCATTTTATTTTAGGGAAAATCACATTATTAACCTTCAAAGTGTAACTGGGTAGCACTTTAAACCTCGAAAAAATTCTACTAACACTATAAACCACCAAGATTATTTTACAAACACTTTAAACTTGCAAACTAACTTTTCTGTTTGTAAAACCATAAAAGATGATGGAACAATTAATTTATGTTTGTTTAATATATATTTATTTAATTTAATTTAAATTTTAATTAATTTTATTATTTATAAAAAAAAACTTTATTTTCTTCGTTTACTCACTGTCCGACCATGAAATTTCTTGATAAACTGTTGAAACAATCTTTTAGACTGATCCATAAGCGTTTTCACTTTCTCTCGTGGATAAATTGGAATCTTATAATACCAATTGAATAAAAAGATGGTGAACACATACAATAAAATGAATAAAAATCTGAAAATTGTGGTCGGACGGTGAATAGTCGAAGATGATTATTTTTTTTTTTTACTTTTTTATTTATCGTCAAAATCATAATAAATAATAAAATTTAAATTAAATTAAATATATATATATATATATATTAAACAAACATAAATTGATTGTTCCATCATCTTTTATGGTTTTGCAAACAGAAAAACTAGTTTGGAGGTTTAAAGTGTTAGTAAAACAATCTTAGTGGTTTATAGTGTTAGTAGAATTCTTTCGAGGTTTAAAATGCTACCAAGTTACATTTTGAGGGTTAAAAATTTGCTTTTCCCTTTTATTTTATTTGTAGTTTCATTTTAGTTGTAGTTTAAAAGTTTTTCATATAAATTAAGAAAGTACAAAAATCTCATTTAATTTATCTCTTTTCTATAAAAACATCATTAACTACAAGTAATTCAACCAATAAGAAAATATGCAGTAAAATATAATTGGTCAAAAACTATTAAATACATTAAACTTTTGCATAGAAAATAAAAACAACACTTATTTTACAAGAAAAACAAATCCCTTAAATTACAAATATATTGAAACAGAGGGAGTATATTTTTTAATCCCAAGAAGAAAAAAAACGTGGAAACTAAAAACTAAGTAAATGCAAAAGATCATCGAAAGCTTAATCTAAATTAATCATCAACCTTGTATATTTAAATAGTTATAATTTTATATTTTAGCTATTAGCAAGAACTTCTTGAACGCGTAAATCCTATCAAGCCAGCACCAAAATAATATTTCCATAAAAATGACTTGACAGTTTTATTCAATGAATAGAAATGGAATATTTAAATTAATCTTCCATATTAATTAAGCAAACCGATCTTAATTTTCCATTTAAAGAATTATATCATTACATTTTTACAAAAGTCAACTCCTTATATTTTGGACAGTAGTAATATTATGTCATACGTGAATATATACTAGGATATATTATGACGACAGCGACAAGTTATATGATTGAGATGAAATAAATGTCTCCAAAAAAAAAAGATTGCAAACGAATCAACTTCTAATAATTAGATTATTTAGATGAGAGCGTTTCTTATCTTGATTCTTTGATCTGTGTTCCTATCTGTTTCCGTCAATGGCAAAAGTTTGGTCTAAAAAAGGACTTTCTCTTTCTCTATCTCCGCCGTGAATGGCAACACAAGGGATGGCTCAGCCGTCGGCGAAGAAAAGAAGCTTCCTCCTCCGTGATATCTTCAAACTTTGCCGATCAATCTCAAGGGTTTTTCCTCGTGACAAACCTAAACATCATCATCATAAGGCTAAACACGAAACCAAACGTACGTGTTGATGAAGAACCTAAACGCCTTCGATTTTCGGGTTAGTTTTCAAGGTTTTCAATAATATGTTTTGAATGATTTTTGTTGAATTGGTAAATATTTTTTTCTAGGAAACGAAAGGGACGGGTACCCGGTGATAATAATAATAAGGTGGAAGGTGTGAGTCTTTGTAAAGTTCGTAGCTATAGATTTGACAACACCAATACCAATTTCGTGGGAGCAAGAAATCTCTTTCAAGAAGTTGTAGCCAGAACACAGCCACGGCCACCGGGGCCACGACGAATCCAACATTCCGGAGTTTATCGTTTATAGGGAGGAGCAAAAGCAGCAGCAATAGGATGACGGAATCCGGTGGATTTATGCCGACACTTATGAGATCAACAACCACGGTTCCAAGAAGCTTTGCAAACCCGATTTTGTATTCGAGTTCCTCAGCCAAAGTGGCTAAACCTTCTCCAACAGAGAAGAAACTACGCTGTACGCTCGAGGAGCTATGCAACGGATGTACCAAGAAGATCAAGATCACAAGAGATGTTATTACTAGCTCAGGGTTTGTTTTGTTTCTTTACCAAATACCTAACTTGGATACAAAGTTTTCGCGAAAAGAAGACTAACTAGCTAAGTTTTTATGTTTTGTAGGCAAATGTGCGAGGAGGAAGAGACGGTGGAAATAAAAGTGAAACCGGGATGGAAAGGAGGGACGAAAGTAACATTCGAAGGCAATGGGGAGTGTACCGGCTGATTTGACATTCGTGATTGTTGAGAAAGAGCATGAGGTGTTCAAAAGAGAAGGAGATGACCTCGAAATGGCGGGCGGTGGAAGTCTCTCTACTCGAAGCTTTAACGGGATGCGAGCTCTCTATTGCTTATCTTGATGGTGATAATATGAGTTTGAGGATAGAAGATGTTATTCACCCTGGATATGTTACAGTGGTTCAAGGCAAAGGAATGCCAAATCTAAAGGAGAAAGGGAAGAGAGGAGATTTGAGAGTTCGGTTTCGGACTAAGTTCCCGCAACATCTTACAGATGAACAAAGGGCAGAGATTCATAGCATTCTTCAAGACTCTTCTTGATTTGTTTGCTTAAGACTTTCTTTCCCTTTATAGGGGAGCTTTTACAACATGGTTTAGATAAAAATCCGAAGAGATTTTTACTCTGTGTCATCTTTGTTTGTAAACAACCAAGTTGAAATGAAGAAACCGCTTTCCATAATCAACCGAAAACTTTTATTTATCGACTTCAATTAATATTCATCCCACAAAACTAAACCATATATATTTGAAAACCAATAAGTTCATATTTGAAAAACCAAGAAAATAAGATACAGGAGGAGATGTCCCCGGCCTTTTACCGTTTAAGATAAACCGAGAAGAACTTTGAATATATCGAATATATTGCTGTCGACAAGGGCTTTTAACAATCTAAGCTTTCCTCTCGAGTAAGGCGGATACCTGACTGCTGAATCACCGAAAAGGCTTCTGTAGAGAACAGCCTTCTTGTGACTAAAAGCATCAAATGAAAATTTACCATGGTAAGCACCCATTCCACTTTCACCAACTCCTCCAAATGGTAATGTGTGAAGTGCAAGCTGCAAAATATCAGATGTTGATAGCGCTTTAGTATAATGATAAATGCTATTCGTGCAATGTACTTAGCTTGTATAGATCAGATAGAGCTAGTGTTTTTTACATGAACAGCTATGTCGTTCACCACTATGCCTCCAGCGGAAACTGTCGCTGCAAATCTCTCTTTCAGCTTCTTGTTATGTGTAAACAAATATGCAGCAAGTGGCTTAGGTCGAGAACGAATCACGTCAAAACTCTCTTCCAAGTTGTTAAGCTGTGAAGAACAAAAGAGAGTGTCAAATATGTCTTCAAGAGATGAAGCAGAGAGCTTATATAGAATGGAATCCCTACCGTGAGGATTGGAAGGAGAGGGCCAAATATTTCTTCACTCATGATCAGAGAATCTAATGGTACGTCAAGCAAGATTGTTGGAGCAATTTTCCTTAAAAATGGAGACAAAAGATTAGCATATGTGAAAAAGG